ACATCATTACATGTCTGTTACTCATATGTGGATATTTAGCCCTTCAGAAATTCCTTCTGTCTGTAATTTACGTGGTTGGTCTCTAGACTGCTTCCATTGTGTCCGAGTGACAGGGTTCTGTGTTATACACTTTCTTGTGGGTGTCATCACACATGTCTAAACCCTTCTTCTTCCTCTTCTTGTCAATTTCTGCTTTGTGCTGCCAGTCAATTTAACAGACAATAGGAAGCAGAACTAGGGCAGGCTCAGCTTCTTGGTAGGGTGTGTAGTTGTGAAGTCTTAGGCTGTCAGTGAGTCCTTTATTCCAACTTCTTCCAGGTCTCCCTCCATCTTTAGGTGTTTATATTTTCATGTTGAACACTCTGCTGCCAGCATCGATAATTGATTCTCACTAGGTAGCCGAACCATAGATTGATTCTCACTAGGTAGCCGAACCATAGATTGATTCTCACTAGGTAGCCGAACCATAGATTGATTCTCACTAGGTAGCCGAACCATAGATTGATTCTCACTAGGTAGCCGAACCATAGATTGATTCTCACTAGGTAGCCGAACCATAGATTGATTCTCACTAGGTAGCCAAACCATAGATTGATTCTCACTAGGTAGCCGAACCATAGATTGATTTAGTTAGTTAGTTAGTTAGTTAGTTAGTTAGTTAGTTAGTTAGTTAGTTAGTTAGTTGGGTTATCATCATTGCACTCCGGACATGTCCATAGGTGCTCAGATCCTCCCCTCAGTATGAATCCCAACGTCCGATGGCTAATAGTACCAGTTCTATGTTGATTAACAAATCTTCTGACGTGTCCGGTGTGCGTCTCGTTTTTTGCTGTGCCGATCTTAATTCCCAAGTCTGCCATTCTGGCGAGTGATGTGGATTCACTGCCACCAAAGTCCTCTATCCTTCCCATTTCTCTGAAGGCATTGATAATATCAGCATGATCCATAGGCCGACCGTCTGTAGTGATAGCGGATCCAGCCAGCCTGTCAGCTCTTTCATTTCCATCGACGCCTGCGTGTCCCGGAACAAAAATAAAGGTGACTCCTCGCACAGTGGACTTCTGAATTGATTCAAGCCATTGTCTTCGCGCTGAACCTGCCTGAACCCTCCGGATCATACTCATTGAATCACTGAGTATACATATGCGGGTGTATTTTTGTGTTTCAAGCCAGGCAAACGCTTGCGTCACTGCCATCACCTCCATCGTCATGCTGCTGGTCATAGATTGATTCTCACTAGGTAGCCGAACCATAGATTGATTCTCACTAGGTAGCCGAACCATAGATTGATTCTCACTAGGTAGCCGAACCATAGATTGATTCTCACTAGGTAGCCGAACCATAGATTGATTCTCACTAGGTAGCCGAACCATAGATTGATTCTCACTAGGTAGCCGAACCATAGATTGAGTCTCACTAGGTAGCCGAACCATAGATTGATTCTCACTAGGTAGCCAAACCATAGATTGATTCTCACTAGGTAGCCTTGCCTCGTGCATTTTTATAGCCGGGATGTCCTTCCTCTATCACCATGCAGGTCAACTCCAGCTTCTGATATACAGGGACCAGAAATTTACATTTCTTTCTGAATTGCTGTGATGTTTGATATATCACGGTATTTAAGTTTCTGAGACATGCTGCTGTTTGTAAACCAGTTTTTATTGATGTTGACATCTGGTAGAATGTCAGTATTTATTGTTTCATTGATCCACAAGCTCCTTAAAAGATGAGATGACTGAAAGGTCAGAAGATGTTGATTGTGTTTGTCCTAGCTCTTGCTACTGAGGATGGAGCACAGAAGAAATGAAGGATATGGAGAAGAAAGAAAGAGAAGGGGGGGGGGGGGAGATGGTCAGTACATTATCAGTAAAATGTATTTATAAATCTGGGTGCAAGTGTTACCCATCTGGGTTCCTGGGGCCTATTTGGGGGTGTGGGGGAAGAGAATAGATTAAATCAATCAATCAGCTGCCGTCTCCACAATGAAGGTTGGCTGCAATGGATCTCCAACAAGCCCTGTCTCTTGCCCTTGATGTACACTCACTCATACTGCTGTTCGTCCATCTCTTGATGTTATCCTCCCACTTGTAACGCTGTCTGCCTCTTGCTCGCCAACCTTGAACCTTTCCCTCTAGGATGATCTTTACAATACTGTTATGTCTTTTAATGTGGCCAAAATATTTCACTTGTCTCTTTTTTATTTCACCTAGCAACTCTCTTTTCTTCCCAATTTCCTCAGTACCTCTGTATTTGATAGCTTTTAGATTCAGTGCCCCCTTAACAAGCATCTATTTAAAGTCTATTAAATACAGGTTTGTCAAAGTCTGAATGCATCTGCTTGAGAGGCAAAGAGCCAACTGTGCAAATAAATAAACTAGATCTAAAATATTGATGTGCACTTAAAACTCAAGTTCTGGAACAAGACTGAAGTCCACAAGTAGGTAAACAACTAGAATGTTCCACCAGTGTTTACAGCCAGTGGACCTAAGGAGATGAGTGCAGTTGTGAGAAAGTATGCAGGAAGCAGAATAATTGTGCACATGTGAGAAAGTATGCAGGAAGCAGAATAATTGTGCACATGTGAGAAAGTATTCATAAAGCAGAATAATTGTACACATGTGAGAAAGTATGCATGAAGCAAAATAATTGTGCATACATGAGAAAGTATGTATGTAGCAGAATAATAGTGCACATGTGAGAAAGTATGCAGGAAGCAGAATAGTTGTGCACATGTGAGAAAGTTTGCATGAAGCAGAATAATTGTGCACATGTGAGAAAGTATGCAGGAAGCAGAATAATTGTGCACATGTGAGAAAGTATTCATGAAGCAGAATAATTGTACACATGTGAGAAAGTATGCATGAAGCAAAATAATTGTGCATACATGAGAAAGTATGCATGAAGCAGAATGATTGTGCACATGTGAGAAAGTATGCATGAAGCAAAATAATTGTGCATACATGAGGAAGTATCTATGTAGCAGAATAATAGTGCACATGTGAGAAAGTATGCAGGAAGCAGAATAGTTGTGCACATGTGAGAAAGTTTGCATGAAGCAGAATAATTGTGCACATCTGAGAAAGTATGCATGAAGCAGAATAATTGTGCACATGTGAGAAAGTATGCAGGAAGCAGAATAATTGTACACATGTGAGAAAGTATGCATGAAGCAAAATAATTGTGCATACATGAGAAAGTATGCATGAAGCAGAATAATTGTGCACATCTGAGAAAGTATGCATGAAGCAGAATAATTGTGCACATGTGAGAAAGTATGCAGGAAGCAGAATAATTGTACACATGTGAGAAAGTATGCATAAAGCAAAATATTTGTGCATACATGAGAAAGTATGCATAAAGCAAAATCAATGTGCACATGTGAGAAAGTATTCATGAAGCAGAATAATTGTACACATGTGAGAAAGTATGCATGAAGCAAAATAATTGTGCATACATGAGAAAGTATGCATGAAGCAAAATCAATGTGCACATGTGAGAAAGTATGCATGAAGCAGAATAATTGTGCACATCTGAGAAAGTATGCATGAAGCAGAATAATTGTGCACATCTGAGAAAGTATGCATGAAGCAGAATAATTGTGCACATGTGAGAAAGTATTCATGAAGCAGAATAATTGTACACATGTGAGAAAGTATGCATGAAGCAAAATAATTGTGCATACATGAGAAAGTATGCATGAAGCAGAATGATTGTGCACATGTGAGAAAGTATGCATGAAGCAAAATAATTGTGCATACATGAGAAAGTATCTATGTAGCAGAATAATAGTGCACATGTGAGAAAGTATGCAGGAAGCAGAATAGTTGTGCACATGTGAGAAAGTTTGCATGAAGCAGAATAATTGTGCACATCTGAGAAAGTATGCATGAAGCAGAATAATTGTGCACATGTGAGAAAGTATGCAGGAAGCAGAATAATTGTACACATGTGAGAAAGTTTGCATGAAGCAGAATAATTGTACACATGTGAGAAAGTATGCATGAAGCAGAATAATTGTACACATGTGAGAAAGTTTGCATGAAGCAGAATAATTGTGCACATGTGAGAAAGTTTGCATGAAGCAGAATAATTGTACACATGTGAGAAAGTTTGCATGAAGCAGAATAATTGTACACATGTGAGAAAGTATGCATGAAGCAGAATAATTGTACACATGTGAGAAAGTTTGCATGAAGCAGAATAATTGTGCACATGTGAGAAAGTTTGCATGAAGCAGAATAATTGTGCACATGTGAGAAAGTTTGCATGAAGCAGAATAATTGTACACATGTGAGAAAGTTTGCATGAAGCAGAATAATTGTACACATGTGAGAAAGTATGCATGAAGCAGAATAATTGTGCACATGTGAGAAAGTTTGCATGAAGCAGAATAATTGTGCACATGTGAGAAAGTTTGCATGAAGCAGAATAATTGTGCACATGTGAGAAAGTATGCATGAAGCAGAATAATTGTACACATCTGAGAAAGTATGCATGAAGCAGAATAATTGTACACATCTGAGAAAGTATGCATGAAGCAGAATAATTGTACACATCTGAGAAAGTATGCATGAAGCAGAATAATTGTACACATGTGAGAAAGTATGCATGAAGCAGAATAATTGTACACATGTGAGAAAGTATGCATGAAGCAGAATAATTGTGCACATGTGAGAAAGTATGCATGAAGCAGAATAATTGTACACATGTGAGAAAGTATGCATGAAGCAGAATAATTGTGCACATGTGAGAAAGTATGCATGAAGCAGAATAATTGTGCACATGTGAGAAAGTATGCATGAAGCAGAATAATTGTGCATACATGAGAAAGTATGCAGGAAGCAGAATAATTGTGCATACATGAGAAAGTGTGAATGAAGCAGAATAAATGTGCACATGTAAGAAAGTATGCATGAAGCAAAATCAGTGTGCACTTTTTATAAAATATGAACAGTCAAAGATAAAATATGAATACTCAAACATGTTGTGGTATGTTGCAGAACCTGTCCAACAACCAGATAGAGATGTTGCCCATGTATATCTGCTTGTTGTCCCAGCTGAAGCACTTGAATGTCTCCAATAATAAACTGACCCACTTACCTCCAGACATTGGAGCTCTCACTAGTAAGTTGTCTCGTCATCTCTTCATTAGCCTTTTTTTGTTTTTTGTTTAATTTTAAATAGTTAGCCTCTTTTTTCCCCCCTTTTTTTTAGCATCCACCAGCTTTAAACTCCGGCCAGAAAGTCTGGTTGTTCATCCACCTTTGGACTTTGGTTTGACTTGAGCTTGAGTTTTGCTTACTCATCCATTTTAAAGATATAGCTTCTTTGTGAGACTATTGGTTCCTCATCTCTCTGTCACAACCGTGCGTGTGGTGTAATGACACCATTAATTAGTCCACTTTTAGGAAATGCTTATTAGGTTGGCAGTGGGTCTTTTTTTTCCTTTCAACCAATGCGCTGATTATATTGTTTGAGTTTGAGATCTTGCAACATCTTGAGGCTCCCTAACAGATGTTGTTTTACTGAAGAATGCTTAACATTTCTTGGTTAGAGAAAAACAGTAATCTAGATGTTTTGAAAGAGTTAAGGGCTGGAAGACAGCTTATCATTTATCCTTTTAAACTGTATGCTGATGAAGTCTTTCTAGCCGCACTATTAATTTTGTCATTCATGATTGTGTTGTGAAATTTCATAAGTTCTTGTTTGGACTGATGTTATTTTTATGATACTATAGCTTAAGAATTATTGATACCATGGCTTAAGAATTATTGATACCATGGCTTCAGAATTATTGATACCATGGTTTTAGAATTATTGATACCATGGCTTCAGAATTATTGATACCATGGCTTCAGAATTATTAATACCATGGCTTCAGAATTATTAATACCATGGCTTCAGAGTTATTGATACTATGGCTTCAGATTTATTGATACCATGGCTTCAGAATTGTTGATACCATGGCTTCAGAATTATTGATATATGGCTTCAGAATTATTGATACCATTGCTTCAGAATTATTGATACCATGGCTTCAGAATTGTTGATACCATGGCTTCAGAATTATTGATACCATGGCTGCAGAACTATATACCATGGCTTCAGAATTATTGATACCATAGCTTCAGAATTATTGATACCATGGCTTCAGAATTATTGATACCATGGCTGCAGAACTATTGATACCATGGCTTCAGAATTATTGATACTATGGCTTCAGAATGACGAATAATGTGCAGTACGTCAGCAAAACTCATTATCGTCAGGTAGAACACTCTTGGCATTTAATTGATAACAGTCAACTAGACTGGCACAAACAAAACTAATAAGGAAATAATAGCCCACAGTATGTGGACGCCTATACAGCCAAATTGTTCAGACATTTATAAAAAATTTTAAAAACAAACACAGAACGGGTTCACAATATCCCTTTATATTAATGGTGTGAAGTAGTTTCAGTACATTTTTAAAACCAGAGAGGTTTCTCTTACTGTGGACTTGATAGCATGTTTCTGTCCATGTTTGATTGCATACAGGTTTGTATTACCGTGGACTTGATATCATGTTTTTGTCAATGTTTGATTGCATGCAGGTTTGCGAGCCTTTGATGCCACTCATAACCAGCTGGTGAACATCCCTGATGAATTTGGAAATCTCAGCAGATTGGAGCAGTTACACCTGCGCCACAACCAGCTTCATTACCTGCCAGTTTTGCCCAACTGTCCAAACCTCAAGGTGAGGGGTGGGGGAAACCTGAAGCTGCAGATTTCATCTTTTGCCCTTTATATCTTGATGAAGCCTAGGGCCCTTGGCTAACTCACGCCAGGACTTTCTATCATTTGCCAGCATATGCAGCTGACCCTGTGACCTTCCCTGTCTTACTGACCTGAAAAAGGCTAAATGTAGTCAGTTCCAGTGGTGACACAGCCCTTCACCCTGTAAATGCTGATGTATTGCTATTTCTACCGTGAACTGTTTTTGGTTAAACACGTTAATTTATAATAGTATTTAGTAGATTAACTGAATATAGCATCTAGAGGAGTTTCCTTATAAATTCCATAGTTTTTAATTTTAAGACTTGTTGATTTGAAATGTTCCCTTAACCATCAGTGATAGAGGTCATGGGGTCACAGCATGAGTCACCCAAAACATATTTGTTTTAAGTCCTGGAGAATGTATTCTGTCTAACAACCCATGGATTCTTGACCTTTTTTTTTTCTTTAGCATTTGTCAGGTGAAAGAGTTCATTTTCTATTGTATTCATTTTCTGCTCTCCCTGTATTTATGTGGCAAATGTTTTGGGAGAAAAGCTTTCTGGCCACGTGTTTTGTTCACAATTCTTTGTGAAAAAAAAATGATATAGGTAAGAGGATCAACTTCATTGACCCTTGGTTTTATCCCATATGGCTCTCAGTCTCTATCTGTAGAGTGGCTGCTTACCTGCTGAGACTGTCACATAAAGCACAGACTCCATAGTTGCAGCTGTGATCCCTATTGATGTAAAAAAAAAATGCACTCTGAAACCAGATCACACAGAATGACAACAAGCACGTGACCTTGATGGCTTGAGACCATATTGAGATAAATATTTTATAATAGAAAATTGAGTTTCATATTGCACAAATTTCGACGCAGACTGCATTTTTGTCGACTTTATTTGAAAAGTGACATTTTTATTGTCAGATATTAACTGTCTAGAAATTTGTCAAGGAAATTTTAGTGGGGAACAACAACATTCGAGGGTTAACAGCGGAACACCTGGAGCACCTGGGTTCTCTCACCTGTCTGGACATTCGGGACAACAAATTGGAGAAACTGCCGGAGGAAATTGTACTCCTGAGGAAACTGGAAAGGTTGGACCTGACCAATAATGACATCAGCACGTAAGTTATACTTCTGTGATTTGTTCCTTCCTTTCTTACTGAAATTTCAGTAGTCTGGGATATCGCTCCTAGGGTATGTGGGTGTAAAGGGGGGGGGGGGATGAATGAGCTGATTAACTAGCTGCAGCCTGCCTCTGTGGGTAGTGATCTGTACTGATAAAGCAGACATGGTGAAAGCTCTTGATTTTAAACACATATTGGTACCGATAATTTGCTGGCAGTGTTAAACTTGGACATTATCCAAGAACATCTCGTTAGAATGCAGCCAGAACAACGGTACTTAATTTATAACTTACCCCTGACGTCACGACTACGTCACGGGAGACAATCCCTATAAATGCTAGGGTTTTCAGGTTGTAGTTTCTCGCGATTTATCTACAGCCAAGTTTAGGGTTAGGGTTAGATTAGAAGACACTAGATGAACACTCAAAAAAACACCAAACAACAGCACACTTGCACCCCTTGAAATAATGGACTGTCAGGTCAGCTGTGGATTTCCCACGGGGATTTCGTGTTTGGGGTACGTTATAAATTAAGAACCAGAACAACTAGCAACACAGGTGCTAGCATGAAAACATCTGATATGAAAGCAGAAAGTCATCATAGAATATGGATTGATGTCGTTTGAGAGCTTGTGCATCAACACAGATTGATAGTAGCCATAGCTACCCACCAAGCAATGGTTCGCAACCACAACGCTTAACGGCAAAAGTGGAAATTGGTGAAGATCATGTGGATGATGAAATCTCTCTGTGATTGCCCAGAGCAATAGAAAAGAAAGAACTTACATACCTAGTGGTCATGTTTAGATTTGCATCAAGGCAGATTTTCTTTCCAACTTGACTTTGACTCTCAAGATGACCCAGTCAACAGAGGGAACCAGGTAATTTCCTGGGAAGTAAAGGTTGCCGGCATGATGTTGACCACATCACCCACTCAGTGCTGGTTAGTCTATAAAAATACCTTCTTCTTGTTATTGTCCCCGCCTGAAGTTTTCTCATGAGAAAGCCATAGGCCTCTGTGAAGTCTGTGGTGTGAGACATGTCTTTCACTCTTCCAGACAATTTGATTCCCATTGCAATACCAACCTGCCTGACATGGGATCTCTCTACTGTATGTAGACAGCTTGTCAGTAGCACACTTTCAATATCATGTGCTGCCTGCCCACATGGGCAACAATCTGAATCCCCAATCTTGAATTTCTGTTGTTTCCAATGCATAGTCTAAATGTAGTATCTGTTTCTTTCATGTGGTGAGGGTTGACGGGGTCTTCAGGATTGTATCCTTGATGGGAAAGTGTTCCAATGGGTTATAACGTGTGCGCTGATCTAACTTTTTTTTCCCTCATAAGTGCATCCCGTACCTGGCTGTTCAGTATGACTTGCAGTTGTTGCCAAGTAGTCTGCTCAAATTAACAGAATGTGAGTCTAGCCTTATATGCCTTACAAGCCACTGTCATGAAAAAGATCCATTATACGTGTACTGTCAGATGTGAGCATAAACGGTTTGTGTACGTGCTGTCTGTGTCAGGTTGCCATATGTGATGGGCACCATGAAGAACCTGAAGACTGTCGTGTTAGACGGTAACCCCATGCGGTCCATCAGGCGCGACATCGTCATGGTAAGTTTCATGTTGGGATGTATATGCCACCACTGTGTAATCATGATCTATAATTCTTCTGCTACTGCTGCTGTCTTCCTCTCCTGATCGAGCTTAAAAGCTCTTCCAAGTTGTGGTCTTTTAGTTCAGTTTACTGACTTACGAAGCATGTTGAGAAAGGTGGAGGCAGATGAGCTCCGTGCAGAGTGGCAAGCATCGTTTCAGAGGGCCAGAGAGTTAGCATTCTTTGGATATTTTTTAAGATCATACTGGTGAATAGGTAGATAGACTGATTGGTTCTGCACCAGTTGGATGTAAATTGAGACATGACCAGATGTTGTAAAGGTCCTTTGGAAATGAGCCAGCAGTGAGGAGGCACACAAAAATCATCAAGGTCTGAGAAAAATAATGCTGCGAGGAGTGGCCAGGAAATCTGGCCTGTGCCCAACACTCAAGCAAATATACCTACTGCCAGGTGTAGCTTCTTATTCACATTCACCAGGTCTAAACTCTTGTGAAAACTCTGGCTGTTCATCTACTTCTGTAATTTAGTCTTTGTTTCAGAACTTGAATGTTGCATGTGCATCAGTTTTACAGTCTTGCTTATTTGTATGCAGACTGTTGGTTTCTTGCCTTTCAGGCAGATAGACTCTGACTGTGAAGGAGACCCATAGTTAGTTAAATGACATGCTTGTTACGGAGACGGTGGGTCTGTTCTTTTGTTCCCCATAATAGGGTTCTGGAACCCACACAGGGAGCTCTCAGGTACATTATCTTGTGTGTTTTTTTTATCATTAACATAATGCTTTCATCATTTAGTATCTTCTGCTACTGGCTGTATCATTTAGCCACTCAATTATCTGTTGTTGGCCTGTATCAGCGAGGAACTAATGAGCTGAAGAAATACTTGGCCAGTCGTTTGAGTGACGAGGAGCTGAAGCCAGTGGCAGAGGAAGTTTCCCACAGCCATGCAGGTCTGCCAGGTCAAGGGGATCAGGTGATTCGAGCACATGACCTTCACCAGATGAAGTCCTTGGACTACAGGTGAAATCTATTTTAAGTGGCATAGTTGGTAGTGTTTAGCTTACCTGTATACTAATTTGGGTTCAATTGTCACTTGACATATGTTGTTGTCGGCAACATATAGATCAGGAACTCTAAAATGACTGTAACTCTTCGAAGTATTGGGGAAAGATGTCCATTGAATGATGGACAGTGGCTTTTACTGTGACCACATCTCTATGTGACAGTGGCTTCCACTGTGATTCCGTCTCTATGTGACATGGCTTCTACTGTGACCACATCTCTGTGTGACAGTGGCTTCTACTGTGACCACATCTCTATGTGACAGTAGCTTTTACTGTGACCACATCTCTGTGTGACAGTTTCTTCTACTGTGACCACATCTCTGTGTGACAGTGTCTTCTACTGTAATCATGTCTCTGTGTGACAGTGGCTTCTACTGTGACCATGTCTCTGTGTGACAGTGGCTTCTACTGTGATCATGTCTCTATGGGACAGTAGCTTCTACTGTGACCACGTCTCTATGTGACAGTGGCTTCTACTGTGATCACATCTCTATGTGACAGTGGCTTCTATTGTGACCACGTCTCTATGTGACAGTGGCTTCTACTGTGACCACATCTCTGTGTGACAGTGGCTTCTACTGTGATCACGTCTCTATGTGACAGTGGCTTCTATTGTGACCACATCTCTATGTGACAGTAGCTTTTACTGTGACCACATCTCTGTGTGACAGTAGCTTCTACTGTGATCATGTCTCTATGTGACAGTGGCTTCTACTGTGACCATGTCTCTGTGTGACAGTGGCTTCTACTGTGATCACGTCTCTATGTGACAGTGGCTTCTACTGTGACCACGTCTCTATGTGACAGTGGCTTCTACTGTGACCACGTCTCTATGTGACAGTGGCTTCTACTGTGACCATGTCTCTGTGTGACAGTGGCTTCTGCTGTGATCCTGTCTCTGTGATACAGTGGCTTCTACTGTGACCACGTCTCTGTGTGACAGTAGCTTCTACTGTGACCAAGTCTCTGTGTGACAGTGGCTTCTACTGTGACCAAGTCTCTGTGTGACAGTGGCTTCTACTGTGACCACGTCTTTGTGTGACAGTAGCTTCTACTGTGACCACATCTCTGTGTGACAGTAGCTTCTACTGTGACCACATCTCTGTGTGACAGTGGCTTCTACTGTGACCACGTCTCTGTGTGACAGTGGCTTCTACTGTGACCATGTCTCTATGTGACAGTAGCTTCTACTGTGACCATGTCTCTATGTGACAGTGACTTCTACTATGACCACATCTCTGTGTGACAGTGGCTTCTACTGTGACCATGTGTCTATGTGATTGTTAAAGACAAGTTATGACATGATATTGACTAAATATTACTTTTTTGTGTGTGTTTTTAAATAAAACACACCAAATGCAGTTTTTAGTAATTGTAATAAAATGCAGCCCTTCTAAATACTGTGCAGGCTCAAAAAGTACCAAAGCTGATATTTAGCCTTAGCAGAGAAATACCACCATCTTGGGTTGAAAGGCTTAAACACACCTAACACCTCACAGAGATACATTTGTGGTAGAAAGGCTTAAACACACCTGACACCTCACAGAAACACATTTGTGGTAGAAAGGCTTAAACACACCTGACACCTCACAGAGATACATTTGTGGTAGAAAGGCTTAAACACACCTGACACCTCACAGAAACACATTTGTGTCATTTCATGAGTTTAAAACCTAGGTCAGTATTTGTGTGACATCCCCCAGCAACAAGAAAGTCCCCACCCTGCCCGATGACGTCGTGGAGGCCGCCTTAGAGGCTGGAGTCAAGACTGTCAACCTCAGTAAAAATCTCTTCACTGATTTACCCCACAAGTAAGAATATCGTTTATTGCTGATTTAACATTCAAGTAAGAAAAGCCTAGAGCTATGGTCTTCCTCTTCCTCTTCTTCACATTCACCAGCTGTAAACTCTGACACAGTGTTCTGATTGTTCATCCATTTCTGGACAAATCTTGTTTCAGAACCTGAGTTTTGTATGCTAATCCAATTTTATATATCTGTGTGTGCAGACTATTGGTTACTCACCTCTCAGGCAGATGCACTCTGACTTCTAAATAAATTACAGAAATCAAATAAGGACAAGTGAAATATTTAGGCCACAGTAAAAGACCCGACACTTGTTAAAAAACCAAAGAGTTGATAGATTTGTAAAGTCAGCACTTGGTGGGTTGATATGGTTTGTATCATGCAGGTCACTTTGACTTCCTAGAAAACATCCTAGTACTCATTGTAAGCCCAGGCTAATCTAGAAGATCATGTCAGTTTTCAAATGTATCTCTGTACCGATTAATGGTTAGTGAGGACTATCAGCACAGCACTCTAGACAGATCCCTGGATGCTCCAGTCTCCATCTCACTAGCTCCACAACAACTGTTCACTGTTCAACACTGTTGATTAGTCAGACATTTTGTGCCCTTGGTGTCCTTATCTAGTTGTCCCAGGTAGCACCCCTAGTGTCCACCAGCCTGGACTAGTAGACTGAGTCCTACATGTTCCCTTGGTGTCCATGTCTGGCTGTCCCAGGTAGCACCCCTAGTGTCCACCAGCCTGGACTAGTAGACTGAGTCCTACATGTTCCCTTGGTGTCCATATCTGGCTGTCCCAGGTAGCACCCCTAGTGTCCACCAGCCTGGACTAGTAGACTGAGTCCTACATGTTCCCTTGGTGTCCATATCTGGCTGTCCCAGGTAGCACCCCTAGTGTCCACCAGCCTGGACTAGTAGACTGAGTCCTACATGTTCCCTTGGTGTCCATATCTGGCTGTCCCAGGTAGCACCCCTAGTGTCCACCAGCCTGGACTAGTAGACTGAGTCCTACATGTTCCCTTGGTGTCCATATCTGGCTGTCCCAGGTAGCACCCCTAGTGTCCACCAGCCTGGACTAGTAGACTGAGTCCTACATGTTCCCTTGGTGTCCATGTCTGGCTGTCCCAGGTAGCACCCCTAGTGTCCACCAGCCTGGACTAGTAGACTGAGTCCTACATGTTCCCTTGGTGTCCATGTCTGGCTGTCCCAGGTAGCACCCCTAGTGTCCACCAGCCTGGACTAGTAGACTGAGTCCTACATGTTCCCTTGGTGTCCATGTCTGGCTGTCCCAGGTAGCACCCCTAGTGTCCACCAGCCTGGACTAGTAGACTGAGTCCTACATGTTCCCTTGGTGTCCATGTCTGGCTGTCCCAGGTAGCACCCCTAGTGTCCACCAGCCTGGACTAGTAGACTGAGTCCTACATGTTCCCTTGGTGTCCATGTCTGGCTGTCCCAGGTAGCACCCCTAGTGTCCACCAGCCTGGACTAGTAGACTGAGTCCTACATGTTCCCTTGGTGTCCATGTCTGGCTGTCCCAGGTAGCACCCCTAGTGTCCACCAGCCTGGACTAGTAGACTGAGTCCTACATGTTCCCTTGGTGTCCATGTCTGGCTGTCCCAGGTAGCACCCCTAGTGTCCACCAGCCTGGACTAGTAGACTGAGTCCTACATGTTCCCTTGGTGTCCATATCTGGCTGTCCCAGGTAGCACCCCTAGTGTCCACCAGCCTGGACTAGTAGACTGAGTCCTACATGTTCCCTTGGTGTCCATGTCTGGCTGTCCCAGGTAGCACCCCTAGTGTCCACCAGCCTGGACTAGTAGACTGAGTCCTACATGTTCCCTTGGTGTCCATATCTGGCTGTCCCAGGTAGCACCCCTAGTGTCCACCAGCCTGGACTAGTAGACTGAGTCCTACATGTTCCCTTGTGTCCATGTCTGGCTGTCCCAGGTAGCACCCTAGTGTCCACCAGCCTGGACTAGTAGACTGAGTCCTACATGTTCCCTTGGTGTCCATGTCTGGCTGTCCCAGGTAGCACCCCTAGTTGTCCACCAGCCTGGACTAGTAGACTGAGTCCTACATGTTCCCTTGGTGTCCATATATGGCTGTCCCAGGTAGCACCCCTAGTGTCCACCAGCCTGGACTAGTAGACTGAGTCCTACATGTTCCCTTGGTGTCCATATCTGGCTGTCCCAGGTAGCACCCCTAGTGTCCACCAGCCTGGACTAGTAGACTGAGTCCTACATGTTCCCTTGGTGTCCATGTCTGGCTGTCCCAGGTAGCACCCCTAGTGTCCACCAGCCTGGACTAGTAGACTGAGTCCTACATGTTCCCTTGGTGTCCATGTCTGGCTGTCCCAGGTAGCACCCCTAGTGTCCACCAGCCTGGACTAGTAGACTGAGTCCTACATGTTCCCTTGGTGTCCATGTCTGGCTGTCCCAGGTAGCACCCCTAGTGTCCACCAGCCTGGACTAGTAGACTGAGTCCTACATGTTCCCTTGGTGTCCATGTCTGGCTGTCCCAGGTAGCACCCCTAGTGTCCACCAGCCTGGACTAGTAGACTGAGTCCTACATGTTCCCTTGGTGTCCATGTCTGGCTGTCCCAGGTAGCACCCCTAGTGTCCACCAGCCTGGACTAGTAGACTGAGTCCTGCATGTGCCCTTGGTGTCCATATCTGGCTGTCCCAGGTAGCACCCCTAGTGTCCACCAGCCTGGACTAGTAGACTGAGTCCTGCATGTGCCCTTGGTGTCCATATCTGGCTGTCCCAGGTAGCACCCCTAGTGTCCACCAGCCTTGACAAGGAGACTGAGTCCTACATGTTCCCTTGGTGTCCATGTCTGGCTGTCCCAGGTAGCACCCCTAGTGTCCACCAGCCTGGACAAGGAGACTGAGTCCTGCATGTGCCCTTGGTGTCCATGTCTGGCTGTCCCAGGAAGCACCCCTAGTGTCCACCAGCCTTGACAAGGAGACTGAGTCCTACATGTTCCCTTGGTGTCCATATCTGGCTGTCCCAGGTAGCACCCCCAGTGTCCACCAGCCTGGACAAGGAGACTGAGTCCTGCATGTCTTCTTCATGAAATGTATCTCGTGGCATTAATGACATTATTCCTGTCCAATGCCAGGTTTAGCGGCGTCCGTGGCTAAGGCGTTGCGAGTCCGACTCGTAAGCCAGCATCCCGCGATCGAAACCCACTGCAGGCTGCGTGGATTTTTGTCGTGGTATGGGACGTCGCAGGTCGACCCAGCCTAAAATGGGTACCAGGATGGGCTGTCCTGGGAAAGTAAAGACAGCTGGCGTAATGCTGACCACATTACCCACAGAGTGCTGATGGTCTGTAAAAATATGGGACGCTCTGCCCATATGCCCGATGCGCCGAAAGGCGTGAAAAGGGAACTTTACTTTTACTTTTTTTTTAATGCCAGGTCAGTTGTGGTAATTGCCTTTTCTGCCATATTTTTTTTTTTTTTTTACGTATCCAGAAGCCATGAGTTGTAAACTCTTTGGCTCGGTATTATGGATATCGCAACCTTTCGGCCTTGATTCCATTGTAAATACCGTAAATCTGGGAGAAATGTGGCTTTTCTGCCTACCCCCGGGAGTGAACCCGGACCACAAGGAGTTCGTCACCCGGCCGCCGCGAAAGTCAGGTTTAACCAACTTCACTAGAGAGCCGGGCCATATGATCGGCGCACTTACTGTGAGTAGAGATTTGAACTGGGTAGGTAGGCAGGCACGCATGCTAACTACCTAATTTCTCTATAATTTCTTATTCTTCTGCATTCGCCTTTAAAAGAGCTGTTGACACGTTCTGTTGTAGTATCTTTACCTTTTATATTAACACGATTTCAGCACACCCCTAAATTTGTCCTATTATGATATGTTGTCAGGGTAGCAGTGGACTGCCCCCCCCCCCCCCCCCCCCCCCCCCCCCCCCCCCCCACACACACCATGGGGCTCCCAAAGCCATATAGGGTTGTAACTATAATTAATTTAAGAATAATGTTATGACGGACAGAGGGACAGAAGTTGTGTGAGGGGAGAACTCCCTACACTAGCTGTCGTTGCCTCACTGCAGACTACAATTGGTGGTCTAGGGGCAGTGGTCAAACTGTTTGCCTCGTGTTCTGAATGTTGTGGGTTTATTACACAGCTGCATCGCTGGGTTCACAAATGTCATTTTCACAGAGATCCATGGTGATTGTCACTGGAGTTATGGAGTTCATGATTTGTGAGATGCTCTTGGCAGGAGGCTAGCCATTCAGCGGAGAGAGACCAAGCCATATGGGATAAAACCCGGTGCAATGAAGTCGATCCTTTTTACTTTAAGTTTTTGACTTCAAACTGAAATTATTATCGGATGTTTGTTTCTAGTCTATCTGTGCTGGCTCCAAAAGTGACAGAGCTGAACCTGGGTCAGAATAGATTGTCACAGCTCTCCAAGGCTATCTCTCAGTTCAGCAGGCTTCAGATGCTGGATCTCAGGTAATAGATTTTGGTAGTCTGTCTCCTTGTATATAAAGTTGAGAAAAAAATCTGTTTTCATGACTATGTAACGAATTGTGACTGTGAGATCAAGGCTAAATCATCGACAAATTGTATGTGAAAACTGGTGTGGTCAGTACCATCCTATGCTTCCCCATGTGGGTTTCAGAAGCCGCATAGTGGGGACACACACAAAAATGGTCCCACTGCCTCCCCAACAACAAGCATGTTGTCAGAGTTCCTTTGAAGTCAGAGTATATCTGCCCCAGCTGCAAGGAACAACCACCTGCACACAAATAAGCCAGTAAAATGAATGTACATGCAAAACTCAGGCCCTGGCACAAAGCAAAAGTCCAAATGGACGAACAACCAGGACTTTCCACTGGAGTTTACAGACAGTGAACAACAAGGAAGAAGCAGATGATCCCAAACATTTTATCTTTCTGGGAAAAAATATTCTGGTGATCACTTTATGTGGTGGGGTCAAAGCCATAGCTACGGGATCATCAGACCACCAATATGAACTGCAGAATGGGAGGAGGATTGGAACTGTTGAGAAACTCTAAGAATAGGAGGATCTAAACTGTGACAAAATTTCATGCAT